CGCGACCCCATTTGGGGTCGATCGACCATTTCACGGGGGTCGCCAAGCAAGGCTGTCCGCCATTTTTTCCCCCTTTTCCGGCGGGTGCCTTACCTCCCTTGAGCTGGGCCAGCTGGTGGTCGGCCTGCTCCGTCTCTGCCGCTTGCCAGCTACGCCTCGGCCGGCGCAGGGGGCGGAACCACGCATGCGCGGCGCTCCCAGGCAGGGAAAATCCTCGACTTACGACCGGTTGGGTAGTCCTCGACTTACGACCGGTTTAGTCCTCGACTTACGACCGGTTGGGGATCGCGGCATTAAAAAGGTTGAGAACCACTGACTTAAACAATTTGCAGCTTGGTGTATCTCAGGGTATGTCCCATTGATTGCAACACTGCCAACCTCCTTATAGTTTTAGCCAGATCATAACTGTAGGATTTTTCCAAATGTCTGCCTTCATCGTTGTTTCTTGTTCTTACAACTGAAACCAGGAACTTTGATGACTAAGGACAGGCAACTATTAATATGCTCAGAAGTGGCAAGGTTTGACACTACGGTGGAATGGTTGGTGAATATGATGGAATTTACAGAGAGGGTTAAATTAATTTCTTTTTTTCGGAGAAAAAAAAAACTAAATTTATGGCTGACTGAAAACTCATTATAGACTTTTTGCATGAAATAGAAAAAGTGCTCTTACGATTTGTGGGAATGGGGTGATGGGGGAAAAAAACTTGGATAAATAGAAAAAAGTGAGCTTTTTTTGTAATCATAGAGCAGGGGTAGGCAACCTTGGCTCTTTTATGACTCGTGGACTTCAACTCCCAGAATTCCTGAGCCAGCATGGCTCAGCATGGAAACCTCTCCCTTTCCCCTCAGCATGGCTGGCTCAGGAATTCTGGGAGTTGAAGTCCACGACTCATAAAAGAGCCAAGGTTGCCTACCTCTGGCCTAGGCCTAGGCCGCTTTATGGTTCGTGGACTTCAACTCCCAGAATTCCTGAGCCAGCATGGCTCAGCTTGGAAGCCTCTCCCTTTCCCCTCAGCATGGCTGGCTCAGGAATTCTGGGAGTTGAAGTCCACGAGTCATAAAAGAGCCAAGGTTGCCTACCCCTGTCATAGAGTAAGAAAATATTTTGTAATTATACTTCTATTTGCTGCAAAGTAGATTGGAAACTTTTTTCTCCTCCCTCCCTCCCTCCCTCCCCCCCCCTCTCTCTCTCTCTCTTTCTTTCTTTCTTTTTTCTTCCTTCCTTCCTTTCTTTTTTTCTTCATCTCTTCATTGCTCTGTGTTTGTTTTTCTGTTCTGTTCAGCTTTTAATAAGAAATTACTTATTTGTTTCTTCTTCCTTCCCCCCTTTAGGTCTTATGAATGACAAAGACTCTAAGGATTCCATGACTGAAGGAGAGAACCTGGAGGAGGATGAGGACGAAGAGGAAGGTGGAGTAGAGATTGAAGAACAATCTGGAAATGAAAGTGAAATAAATGAAGCAGAGGAGGAGGTGATTCTCTCTGCTCTTAGCTTTCTTGGAAGGATGGCCAGTTGCTCCCAATTCACAAACAAATACCTGTCATGCTTGAAGCCTACCACATCTGTGGAGATGTACTATATATAATTTGGGCAAGCAAGGAAGACAGGCCAAATTTATTTCCCCCCCCCCAAATATTCACAGGATATAGTTAAAAAATATCCAGGAGCACTTAACAAAAAAGGTGGAAATTTGTTTGCCCCACACGGCTGCCATCTTGACATCTTTAGCCATATCCCGTGGAGACTCTGCTCCCGGCTATGAAAATTTACTAAACAGAATATTGTTTCTGAAATCCAGTTGGGAATATTGGTAATTTTGCAAACTGCGATCTCTTGTACGCAGATTTCATCAGGATCCCATTCCTCCTGATTTTTTTTCTGTTAGGAACAATTGGGCCAGATAATTAAGTTTGGAGTGAATTTCGAAACAGCGCTGGCACAATTGCTAAAATATCATAACATTAAGTTGGGCAATTTTTTTTTGCACAAAAGCTTTGAAACCCACGTGAAAACAAGACTTTGGGCTGTACGTTAAAGCTCTTGATTTTTTTATATAATATTTTATTAATTTTCCAATTTTACATTTGAATATTTAAAAAGCAACGTGGTGACTGGGTTAATCAATAGTTGAACAATAAAGTCTTAGTGCAAATCTCAAGTTACAACATCAAATATTTCTTCTCTTTTTCCCTTAACATTTACTGTCTCATATCCAGGTTAGTACATTTCTAATTATATCAATTCAGTAAGAACATCATTTTTACATTTATCAATAATTTTTTAGCTTATACATATCTTAATTACNCAGCCTCTTCCTCACGAAGACGAATACAGCTAGTCCTTGACTTACAGCCACAATTGAGCCTAAAATTTATGCTTGCTAAGCGAGACATTTGTTAAGCAGGGCTGGGGAGTCGGTAGATAAATGTTCCGACTCCGACTCCTCAGTTTTTTGTACTTCCGACTCCGACTCCCCGACTCCGACTCCTCTGTATTAATATGCGAATGTATTTTATACATTCCTTGAAGGAAAGAAAGGCAACATACATGTCATTACCACAGGACTACTGGCAGAACACAACACTATGGAAAATATAAGTATTGCCGTTCCTAATTGTGCGTTGCGTGCCATATAGTGAAGCACATGAAAAGCATGCTTCTTCATGGTCACTTAACGTGTTCGTTTTGCGGTTACGTGAGGCACTGCATGCATTGGTCTTTATTCTTACAGTAGAGAAGTCATTAATTATAACTTTTTGTGAATTGGGACATTTAAACTTGCTTTTTTTTTAATTCCAATCTAAATTTAGTAGGAGTCGGAGTCGGTGCATTGTTTGCCGACTCCGACTCCAGGTACCCAAAATTTACTCCGACTCCTCGACTCCGACTCCACAGCCCTGTTGTTAAGTGAAGTTGGCTCCGTTCTACGACTTCTCTTGCTTAACATTTGCTAAGTGACTCGCAGCGGTTATTAAGTTAGCAAGAAGGTTGTTAAGTGAATCCAGCTTCCCTATTGGCTTTGTTCGCCAGAAGGTCGCAAAAGGGGATCACGTGACCCGTGGGACACGGCAACCGTCCTAAATATGAGCCAGTTGCCAGGCATCTGAATTTTGATCACGTGACCATGGGAATGCTGCAGTGGCCGTAAGTGTGAAAAACGGTCCAAAGTCCCTTTTTTTCAGTGCCGTTGTAACTTTGAACGGTCACTAAATGAACTGTTGTAAATCGAGGACTACCTGTAGTTCACTGTGGGATTGTGGGAAACGAACAGAACTAAAAGATGAGACAAGAAGAAACGTCTTAGGAAATATCGCTTTACTTTGATTAAGTTTGAATCTCCAGAGGCAAACCTTTGTGAATTTCCTTTGAGAAATCTTAAAAGAACTAAATGAAGGAAGAGGGGAATTGTTTTGATTTTCCAAAAAGAGGGTCCCGAAGCTGCAGACTATTCAACTTGGCATAATCCTTGGGAAGATTCTAGAATAATATTAAAAAGCAGGTAATTCATTAGCAGCCTGAAAAATGACCTGGCAATCACCAGAAATCAGATTGAATTAATCTAGAATTAATCTTGATATTTTGGTTTCGCTTTATTTTTTTTTCCATCGAGGAACTTCCTTCATCGATTGTGGGAATAGGATTAGTGTAATGAATCAAGGTGCTTGAGGAGACTAGGATAGTACAAGGGTATCACATATTGTATCACATATNTGGTGACTGGGTTAATCAATAGTTGAACAATAAAGTCTTAGTGCAAATCTCAAGTTACAACATCAAATATTTCTTCTCTTTTTCCCTTAACATTTACTGTCTCATATCCAGGTTAGTACATTTCTAATTATATCAATTCAGTAAGAACATCATTTTTACATTTATCAATAATTTTTTAGCTTATACATATCTTAATTACATTCAATCTTCCTAAACAATCCATATCCTGTTATTGATTTTTACTCAATTTTTAATTTCTTATCAATATTCCAATTTAACCTTTGATATTTATAATTTTCAGACTTTGGGTAACCAAAATTTCCCTTATCTCCCTTCATAACAAACTATAATATCCAAAATACACATTTTATCTATTTGTATATAATCTTGTTCTGTTTCCTAAGAGTTATCTATTTCCCACCATATTAAATCATCTACTTAATAACACAATATCCCCTGTAATAAATCAAAATCATATATATTCCTGGGTTAATCAGCAAATCAAACATATTCATACTATTTAATTTTTTCCCCTTTGAAGTCTGATTTTTAAATATTAAACTGATAAATCCTTATTTTCAACTGATTTCCAAATATTTTAAATCTAATAACTAAAATTCCCCTTATCTCAACATCTCCCTTTAACCCTCTGATTGGCAATATAAAATTCCCTCTAATGAGTCAAAATCCCAGTTTTTTCAACCTTATTCTAGCTTTCTTCCTTTGCCAACTAGGCTTCCATATCAGCGCCTTTAAATCATCAAATAGATCTCCCTCTGTTCTTATATATGTTATTTGAGTTAAAGGAGACCATTTGATTGCCAGTTTTCTGGAAGGACTAGCCCAGTGGTGGCGAACCTATGGCACGGGTGCCAGAGGCGGCACTCGGAGCCCTCTCTGTGGGCACACGTGCTGTCGCCCCAGCCTCGCCTCCGCCCGTGACCCCCTCCTCTCCAGCAGCCCCCCTGAAGGAGAGTCGCCCCTGAGCGTGGCCCACATGGAGCAGCGCAGCCAAGGATATGGCAGCCAGGCGGTGTAGACAAGACTCTGCCCTCACACCCCATCGTGCACAGTTGATGCTGCAGGGCGCGGGCAGAGGGCGTGACCGCCATAGTGCTGCTGGGCTGCCTGGGCGATCTGCGGCGGGCCCTGGAGGCGGTGAGTGGCGCTGCGGGCAGGCGGGGCGGGGGATGGGGGAGTGGGGCGGGGGGGTGGAGCAGGGGCGGGGCCAGTTTTTGGGCACTCGGTCTCTAAAAGATTTGCCATCACTGGTCTAGCCCATTTGCATTCGTTAAATTGTCTCCCTGTTAGTCCAGTTCCCCACGTTTGCTCTAATATATTTGTCTTCAGTTCAGTCTGTTCTACCTCTTTCTCAAAGCTCTTGATTTTTCAGGAGGGGTCTGAGAATGAGGATGACGAAGGAGAAGAGGAGGAGGAAGAGAACACCGATTACCTCACTGACTCTAATAAGGAGAATGAAACCGATGAAGAGAACACGGTATGTTTCTTTAAAAAAAAAAAAGACAACGACATTTAGTGCTAAAAAAAAGACTGCCTACAGATCAAGCTAGTTTTGGCGGGTAAAATGAGTTTCCTTTGGTTTCTCATAAGCATGGAAAACGCCTGCAAACACCATATCTTATCAGTAATTTTAGTTGCAGTACAACATGTACAGGTAGACAAGAGTGCCATAATCATGAATCTCCAGATAAACTGACCTCAGGAAGCAGAGAGAGCAAAATCACAGGCCTCTTTTGCACCAACCACTTGCTGATGTGATTGAAGATCAGATATTAATATCAATATCTGATCTCCCGTATTGACTCTTCGGGCTGAGTTGGGGGAGAGAAAAATCAAATAGACTCTTATCTTTACCTTATTTGGTGCGGGTAAGATGCCCCCACTAGAATGGGTGGTGCTGTTTTCCCATTGAAAGTTACCTGCTAGTAAACGAGTAGGAAGCCAACCACCAGATTGCAAGAACACAAATGAGTGTCCAGACGAGGAGATCCAAACTTATTAGTAGCCTCACATTGCAGTGAAACGGGACATGCATTCAATTTTGCAGCTACTAAGATTGTTGACTGAGCAGGTACAAAAACAGCCAGGGAAATAATTGAAGCCTGGGAAATGGGCCCCTTGTCGGTCAACAGGATTTACCACCAGCTTATCAAGTACATAGGAGCTGAAGGCTTGGCAGCATAAGGAAACAACAGCCAATCACCGGCCATCAACACACCAATCAGCCAGTAGGAAGGCACCACATAAATATGACACATAGAATAGCCCAAAACACATATTCCGGTAGAGCAGTGGTTCTCAACCTTTTTAATTCCGCGACCCCAACCGGTCGTAAGTCGAGGACTAAACCGGTCATAAGTTGAGGACTAAACCGGTCGTACGTCGAGGACTACCCAACCGGTCATAAGTCGAGGACTTTCCCTGCCCGGGAGCGCCGCGCATGCGTGGTTCCGCCCCCTGCGCCGGCTGAGGCGTAGCTGGCAAGCGGCAGAGACGGAGCAGGCCGACCACCAGCTGGCCCAGCCCAAGGGAGGTAAGGCACCCGCCGGAAAAGGGGAAAAAATGGCGGACAAAAAAAATGGCGGACAGCCTTGCTTGGCGACCCCCGTGAAACGGTCGATCGACCCCAAATGGGGTCCCGACCCACAGGTTGAGAACCACTGCGGTAGAGAGAAGTTCCCTGAAGTTGGGCTCCACCACAAGTCCGAAAGCTCGGAAGACGAAGCCTCTGGTCCCGTTGACCTTCCCAGATTGGATCTTACCTGCTAGTGATCTATTGGAAGAATAAAAATAAAGGAACAGTACATCACAGAATTAGTCACATTGCATTGAAATGACATTTAAAGGAATTGACCATAGAAGCTGGGATGTTTGTGTATGAGCTATGCTTATATATCAAAAGGAAGACTGTCTTAAAACGGCAAGCTGAACAGTGGGTGGTTTTTTCGAATGCTTTCTGGCACAAAGTGTTCTTTGAAGAAGGAAGGGTCAGCTGGTCCCAAACCAGAGAAGAGAGCTGAGCTAAAGAACTAAACTGCATGGGGACATAAAAGAGTGCTGCAAATTTAATTTCAGAAAACCCAAGGCAGTTTTATGTTTTTGCCTGACAACTAGGTAAAAACAAGTGGAGGATCAGTACAGCGTCTTCTGGATGGCCACCGTATAGCTAATAGTTGTGGATTTCAGGAGAACAAAATATAGTCAAGGTGTGCATTCTTACAGAAGGCACAGAAGCGTGCTTGCCTAAATTGGATATTTAAAAAAAAATAAAAATTATAGTCCATGACTAACACTGGAAATGAAATCAATCCCCAGTGCTGATTTTTTTTTCCATCTCAAAACTATAAGCTGGTGTTCGTCAACCTCAAAAACGTTTGTGTGGACTTCAACTCCCAGAATTCCCCAGCCAGCCATGGAAGTTGAAGTCCACGCATCTTAAAATTGCTGAAGTCTAGAGACACTGCTGTAAGGTTTCTGTCACATTCAGCACTTTCGTTCTAATGAATCACATTGGTTTGATCTGTTTCGGGCTACTTTTAAAAAAATATATATGCAAAAATGTTCCTTTTTCACAGTAAGCAAGATACGTATCTTTGTATCAAATGCTGTTCCTTGTCTCGCACACGCTGATCGGGATTAGCATATAGCTAGTTCCTCTCTTACTTGGGGATGACATCACGTCGTCACACGTGTAACCTCTTTATGCTTTTTTTTCTTGTTATAAAAAACAGAAAGAAACACGTACTAGAGAACACCTTTTAGTTATAAGACCGTTAAATGAAATCACTAAAAAGAGAAGGACGAGGGGGGACACGATAGCAGTGTTCCAATATCTCAGGGGCTGCCACAAAGAAGAGGGAGTCAAGCTATTCTCCAAAGCGCCTGAAGGCAGGACAAGAAGCAACAGATGGAAATTAATCAAGGAGAGAAGCAACCTGGAACTAAGGAGAAACTTCCTGACAGTTAGAACAATTAACCAGTGGAACAACCTGCCTCCAGAAGTGGTGAATGCTCCAACACTGGACGTTTTTAAGAAGAAACTGGACAGCCATTTGTCCGAAATGGTGTAGGCTTTCCTGCCTGAGCAGGGGGTTGGACTAGATGACCTCCAAGGTCCCTTCCAACTTTATCATCATCATCATCATCATCATCACTATTATTATTATTATTATTATTATTATTATTATTATTATTATTATTATTATTATTATTATTATTATTATTATTTGAGAAACTGAAGCATTAAAATAAATTCTTGGATCTGTTTTGAAAACATTATAGCCCCGTGAATGAGACCAGGTTCTTTAAGGGAGGAATCCAATCTGTTGGCAGAAAATATACGTCAGCTGAAATGGTGCTGTTTTCTTTTTTTAATCTTCTCTTTTTTATATATCTATCTATCAGGAAGTAATGATTAAAGGAGGTGGGCTGAAACGGGTCCCGTGCGTCGAAGATGAAGATTTTATTCAGGCATTGGATAAAATGATGCTGGAAAATTTACAGGTACCGATTGATTTTTAATACAATTGTACAAAGCGTTCTTTTTTTTTTTTTTTTACAAAACTGCCTACCTCTTGAAACAGCAGTGAAATGGGCGGTGTCAAATGTTTTGAAGCTTGACTGCAGTTGCTAACTGACAGGGCGTAAGCCGAGAACTATCGGAGGAAGATGAATAAACCGGCGTTTCCCAAACCTGGCGACTTTAAGAAGGTTTCAGAAGTTAAAAGATGAAGAAAAAAATGGGCTTCAACTCTTAAGAAGGAGTAGAAGCCCACCTGTCTTAGAGTTGCCAGGTTTGAAAAACCCTAAGCCAGGGGTCAGCAACCTTAAACACTCAAAGAGCCACTTGGACCCATTTCCCAGTGAAAAGAAAACACTGGGAGCCGCAAAAGTTTGTGTGCGCGCACGCGTGCACACGGGAGGGGGGAAGCTTGATTGAGTTTAAAAAGAAATAGAGACTGCTGTGCATGAGTTCTCTCTCTCTCTCCCTCCCTCCCTCCCTTCCTCCCCCCCCCCTCTCTCCGATCTTCTCCTCACCTGGCAAGCTGGCTTCACGCTGTTCTCCGACAAGCTGACACACTTTCTTATTGGGCTGGCTCTCTCCTGCCCTTGGTCTGCCAGTCCTCTTCCCCCACTCAGTGTGTGTGTGTGTGTGTATGTGAGAGAGAGAGACAGAGAGACAGAAAGACAGAGACAGAAAGAGCTGCTGCTTTCTGCTGCTTGCTGCTTCCTGCTGAGATGCAGCAAAGAGAGGAGCCCCGCCCAATAAGCTTGTCAGCTTGTCGGAGGACAGCGTGAGGCCACTCTCTTTTTTACAGAGAGAGAGAGAGAGAGAGAGAGAGAGAGAGAGAGAAAGAAGCACAAGGGCCTCTCTCTGTCTCTGTCTCTCTGCAAATGGCGGAGGAGGCTGGGAGCCGCAGGAGAAGGCTCAAAGAGCAACATGCGGCTCCGGAGCCGCGGGTTGCCGACCCGTGCCCTAAGCTAAACAAAACAAAGCATAAAAGAGCTTTGAACTGAAGGCTGCGCTCCTTCGTTCTGCTGCTGTTCTCGTGGCCTACAAACATTTGAGAGGTCTGTTTTTGTGCCCTGGCAGCAAAGAAGCGGAGAGTCGGTGAAAGTGCACCAGTTGGACGTGGCCATCCCTTTGCATCTCAAGAGCCAGCTGAAGAAAGGACCACCACTCGGCGGTGGGGAGGGGGAGTCTGAATCCGGAGACACCATGCCTTTTGTCATGCTGACCCGGAAAGGCAACAAGCAGCAGGTAAGCATGTGCCTAGTTGGAAAGGTGGCCTTTTTTATGCTCTGACATTTCTGATTAATTGTCTTATGTGGATACCTAATACTTGAGGGGTCCTTGGGGCTCTCTGAACTTGGTCTGTTTTCTTGCAGACGTTTCATGACCCAACTAGGGAACATCATCAGTGTTACACTAATGTTGTTACTAATATCATTCTGGACAAATGGCTGTCCAGTCTCTTCTTGAAAACCTCCAGTGATGCTCTCTGAGCTTGGTTGTTTTCTTGCAGACGTTTCATTACCTAAACTAGGTAACAACATCAGCACTGATGATGATAATAGTTGGGTAATGAAACGTCTGCAAGAAAACTACCAAGTCTCAGAAAGTACCAAGGACGACCACCACCTCCACGATCACCACAAACCGCACTTCTAGCACTGATGATGTTACCCAGTTGGGTCATGAAACGTCCTCAAGAAAACCACCATGCTCAGAAAGCATCAAGGACGATGACCTCCTCCACCTCCACCTCTTCCACAAACCCTGCTTCCTTCTAGCACTGATGATGTTACCCAGTTGGGTCATGAAATGTCTGCAAGAAAACCACCGTGCTCTGAAAGCATCAAGGACCACCACCACCACCACCACCTCCTCCTCCTCCTCCTCCTCCTCCTCTTCCACAAACCCCGCTCCCTTCTAGCACTGATGATGTTACCTAGTTGGGTAATGAAACGTCTGCAAAAAAACAAGCAAGCTCAGAGAGCACCAAGGACCCCTCATTTCAATCCTGAGCTACAAAATATTCTGCTTTATTGATACTAAATACTGTAGTTTTTGGACAACAAGAAAGTGGCCGTTTCCCCCCCCAGCCATTCACAGTTTTCAATGGAGAAAAAGCAGATATTGATTGGTTTTCCCAGATGAGTCTCTGTTTCATGCAATTAGGTGGCATTAAAGAGACTGATTTTTGTACTCTTATTCACACGTTCAATTTTTTTTCTTCTTCTTGCGACCCTGTAATCCCTTACTTCAGGGTAGGGTTGGGGCGACTGGATGGAGCTGAGTATTTACCGGCCGGATGCCCTTCCTGACGCCTACACGGAGTTCACAGCAGACTTTTTCCCTTTGCGCCCTGACATCTGCCACTGTCCAGGATTGAACTCTCAGCCTCCCGAGTGGGAAGCGAGCGTCTTCACCTCTGGGCCCCCACGCCACTATTCACACATTCCAAATACAGTTCTCAAAAATACCCTGGACCTGTAACACGCCAAGTAGTGGTTCCAATTACAGAATAATATTTGGGTCCCTCCCCTTGTTGTTAGGGATGTTTCCCTTTCTTTGGGATCTTAAGACGGGCTTCTGTTCTTTCAGTTTAAAATCCTAAACGTGCCGATGTCCTCTCAACTGGCTGCCAATCACTGGAACCAACAGCAGGCCGAGCAGGAAGAACGCATGCGGATGAAAAAGCTAACCTTGGACATCAACGAACGGCAGGAACAGGAGGACTATCAAGGTAGGGGTCGATTGTTAAAAAAAAGTTTCATACTGGTAGTCCCCGGCTTGCAACCAACCATTTAGCGACCACTCAAAATTACAATGGAAAAAGTGACTTAGGACCTATCCTGGAGAATAGAATAGAATAGAATAGAATAGAATAGAATAGAATAGAATAGAATAGAATAGAATAGAATAGAATAGAATGTTGAATAGAATAAAATAGAATGTTGAATAGAATAGAATGAATAAAATAGAATAGGAACAGAATATTGAATAGAATAGAATGAATAAAATAGAATAGGAACAGAATATTGAATAGAATAGAATAGAATAGAATAGAATAGAATAGAATAGAACAGTGGTGGCGAACCTATGGCACGGGTGCCAGAGGCGGCACACAGAGCCCTCTCTGTGGGCACGCACACCATCATCCCAGTCCTAGGCCTTCATCTGGGTTTTATAAAACATTTTCGCTTTAGGCCTCTGCCACAGTATGCAAAAAAAAAAAAGGTTCAATCAATCAATTTCAACTTCTTGGGGAAAAAAAAAAGATCTCGCAGAGTTGGAATTGATTGATTGAACTTTTTAGTCCCACCCAGTCTGCTGTTACCACCGCAGCCACGCCCACCCAATGGGCCACACCCACCCGGCACCCGACGAGGCATAAATGGGTTTTGGGTTGCAGTTTGGGCACTCGGTGTCTAAAAGGTTCGCCATCATTGGAATAGAATGTTGAATAGAATAGAATAGAATAGAATAGAATGTAGAATAGAATAGAATGTAGAATAGAATAGAATGTAGAATAGAATAGAATAGAATGTTGATTAGAATAGAATAGAATAGAATAGAATAGAATAGAATAGAATAGAATAGAATGTTGATTAGAATAGAATAGAATAGAATAGAATAGAATGTTGATTAGAATAGAATGTAGAATAGAATAGAATGTTGATTAGAATAGAATGTAGAATAGAATAGAATAGAATGTTGATTAGAATAGAATAGAATAGAATAGAATAGAATGTTGATTAGAATAGAATGTAGAATAGAATAGAATAGAATGTTGATTAGAATAGAATGTAGAATAGAATAGAATAGAATGTTGATTAGAATAGAATAGAATAGAATGTAGAATAGAATAGAATGTAGAATAGAATAGAATAGAATGTTGATTAGAATAGAATAGAATAGAATAGAATAGAATAGAATAGAATAGAATAGAATAGAATAGAATGTTGATTAGAATAGAATGTAGAATAGAATAGAATAGAATGTTGATTAGAATAGAATAGAATAGAATGTAGAATAGAATAGAATGTAGAATAGAATAGAATAGAATGTTGATTAGAATAGAATAGAATAGAATAGAATAGAATAGAATAGAATAGAATAGAATAGAATGTTGATTAGAGTAGAGTAGACTAGAGTAGAGTAATGCGCTTGTGTGCGTTTTATTCCCGCATTCAAATTTACTCATGGCGGCTCTAAATCATACAAGAAAAATAACACCTCAGGATCAATATGATCACAGGACCTGCTTCCAATAGAAATCAAAGAGATTATTATAATTTGCAGGTAACATTGCTGAAGGGTATTTTCAGAATCTTGTGTGCCCTCCACCCCTTTGAGATACCTGCAGTTGGCTGCCAAGAGACTTGGAGTTTCTGGCAAGTTCTGTGGAACATCATTTGCCCATAAATTAAATTTATTTAGGTTCTGCTAAGCAGCAAAAATAGGCATGTAACTTCCAAATAGAGACACGCTCTGGTTTTCTCCTCAGAATTACCTTTTGCTGATCCAGCATGAAAACGGTTTATTAGTCATTATTGTTTCAAACGCGGCTGAGATCATTTGTCCTCTCCAACCCCGAATATTGCAAATTTCCACCCAGGAAGTCTTAATTGTTCGTCAAATGACCGGATTCGTTAGCTGAGGAATTTGGGGACTTCTGATACTTGCTAGAAACATCTCCGGCGTTCTTTTTTTAACCTAAGAGTGGTCTGTGCTCTTCCCTCACCCGTCAGTTTATTTCTTAAAACATTTTAATCCGCAGAAATGATGCAGTCCTTGGCTCAGAGACCCGCTCCAGCCAACACAAACCGAGAACGGCGGCCTCGTTACCAGCATCCCAAGGGTGCTCCTAATGCTGATCTCATCTTTAAAACTGGTGGAAGGTAAGAAGTGGGATTATTCTGTGCTTTTCCGTTTTCCCGCCAATTCTGATTTCAGAACTGGAAAGACTTAGCGAGAAGACGTTTTTGCTGGCTCCGTCTTGAAAAACCTTAAGAGCAGAAATCACTCAAACGTTGAGATCGCTTCCTTTGGAAATAATGACTGAATTATTATTATGTAGCGTAGGATGAGAACCTGACAGAAGAAGAATAAGCATATGCACACAATCCAAGAAATTATATACGAGGGCAATTCGGAAATAAACCTCCATTTGAGCATGTGCGAGAAACACCCGTCCTGCGGCGTCGTGCGCAGTAGTTCAGTAGGCAGGAGTGGAAGGATAAGGTTCTGTTGCAGTTGACTCGTCTGCTAGAGCAGGGCTTTTCAACCAGTGGTACGGGTACCACCTGTGGTACATTTGCACCTGGCAGGTGGTACGCGAGCATCCTAGAAAAGTGGTAGCGGGGGAGGGGAATGAGCTGAACCGGTGGCAGCACCGCACAAGCCTGAGCGAGAGACGGCTGGAGCTGAAGGGCTGTCAGGGCTCAGCGGAATCGCCAGGATCAGTGCCGCTTTCCAGCTGATCGGCGCTTCTTTGGGGCTGTCAGGGCTCAGTGGAAGCGCCAGGATCAGCACCAGGCTCCAGCTGGAGCTCAGCACTGATCCTGGCGCTTCTGCTGAGCCCTGAAGAAGCAACAATCAGCTGGAATGTTGCAGCATCTCCAGGGTCTTGTGATTTACATTCAGATGCCTGGCAACTGATTTATATTTATGACGGTCACAGTGTCCCAGGGTCATGTGAAGTGATGGAAACCTGCTGCAACCACCCAGCAGATGAGGGAATAAAAACCAAACACCCCCCCACCCCACCCCGCTGCCAATCCTCAACAGAAATGCTCACAACAATGAAAACCTCGGACAGGAGGAAGAGCGCCGCTGGGTGCTGTCTTGCTTGGCTGTGGCTTGGGGGCACTTTTTTCAGTGCCACTGTAACTTCGAAGAGTCACTAAGCGAACTGTTGTAAGTTGAGGACTACCTGTACTTTATCACTTTTTTCCTTTTTTTTTTTTGGTCATCAAGTTTTTGACTCCTTGCTAGGCGATTGGTGGTACTCGGATGTTGCCATATCCTAAAAGTGGTACAATGGGTGAAAAGGTTGAAAAGCCCTGTGCTAGATCAATTGAAAATGAACCCTCCCCTAGAAAGTCCCCTCCAAATATGAAGTGTGTGCAGTAATACAATCCTGTGTGCGAAAAAAATCTTCGGCAGCTGCGATTCGTCGCGAACTGGGTAATGTTTACGGCCCAAATGTGATGAGTGAAGGTGTCGTACGTCAACGGTGTCTCATGTTTAAAGATGGACGAACCGACGTGCACGATGAGGCAAGAAGTGGCCGCCCATTTCTAGTCAGCGATGAACAAATTAGCATAGGTAGGCCCCATTTTAAGGCCTTTCAGAAGGAGTTTTGCCCCATTTTACGACCTTTCTTGCCACAGTTGTTCAGTGAATCACTGCCGTTGTGAATTTGGCTTCCCTATTGACTTTGCTCGTCAAAAGGTCGCAAAAGGGGATCACGTGACCCCCCCCCCCCCGGACAATACAGCAGTCATGAATACGAGTCAGTTGCCAAGCCTCCAAATTTTGATCAGGTGACTGTGGGGATGCTGCAGCGGTCGTAAGTGTGAAAAAGACTCATAAATCAGGTTTTTTTCCCCCAGTACCATTATATCTTCAAACAGTCACTAAATGAATGATTGTAAGTCGAGGATATCTGTAATGCAGAATGGGAGAGCCATTCCTATAAACCAGGGGTAGGCAACCTTGGCTCTTTTATGACTTGTGGACTTCAACTCCCAGAATTCCTGAGCCAGCATGGCTCAGCTTGGAAACCTCTCCCTTTCCCCTCAGCATGGCTGTCTCAGGAATTCTGGGAGTTGAAGTCCACGAGTCATGAAGGGGCCATAGTTTCCCCCCATGCTGGCTGAAGAATTCTGTGAGTTGAAGTCCACGAGTCATGAAGGGGCCAAGGTTGCCTATCCCTGCCATAGGCGAAATAAGCAAATAAGTTTCACCGCTCGCTTCTTCCCGCATCTGACCTTTTCCTTCTCTCCTTCCCTCCGCCAGGAGACGTTGATCCAGCCGCAAGCGTCATCTCATTAGGTCCCGTATCTCCAATGTTGTGGATTAGTGGAGTCCTCCAGCAATTAAAACGAGAGCAGCGGACACATCGGAGCATGTCAGTCTCAGAGAGAGTTCAGAAATCGACAGGCTGGGGCCGTAGAGCAGATCCACCAGCCTCTATTAAAAACAGAAATAGTGGAAGCTTCCAGTCATGACCTATCAAAACCAAAAGCATCTTGTTAATGGAAAACATGCGAGGGTTAATCTTCTCATGAGAATGGAAGTCAATAAATGAGATGGTTAACTTGACCGGTGAGCAGTTCAGTTACAACAACAACAACAACAAAAAGAGCAACTTAAAAAAAAAAAATAAGATGGATTATGCTGGAACAGAGACAAGTTTTGGTGGCTAGGTCTGGGGGAGAAAGGAATCAAACTTATAAAAGAGTGGCATTTTCACTGAATGACGCGCGATGGTAGTGCCAGGAGAAAGTTCTTTGGCAGGCCTGCAGACCTGCTTCTAGAGAAGCGATACAACAAGGAGTAAGGATTGATTAGTCAGCCCCAGCACCCAGGATAAGCAAAACAGCAACTCATTTACCAAAACGCCGAGATATTTTCCTGGAAGACGACGTTCGGAGAGGAAACCAGACAGTTCCAGATTGCGTGTGTTTTGAGCGAGAGAGTGAAGGAATCGGTAACGAGGAAGTGGCAAGGTCTCTGAAGGTCACACAGATAGATGGGAAGGGGGAGAGAGAGAAAGAGAGAAAGAAAGAGAGAGAGAGAGAAAGAGAGAGAGAAAGCATTGACCAAAAGTTGCTTTGAACAGCCTGACACCAGCCTAAGTCCAAGAGTCTAGAGGAGCTCATTAAAGCATCATTGAAAACCAAAATGTGCCAGTCAGCACGACAGACAGATGCCAGGAAGTGGAGCTGAATGTTCTGTTGACTTTCATGGGTTGATAAGCCTCTGTGTCTACATATTTAAAAAAGAAAAAAAAAAGAAAGGAAAAAAAAAATAGTTGGCAGAAGTAGAATTTTTATTTTTCTAAATTGAGATAAATCTTTCTCCGGGCAGTTTCTGACAATCTTGTTTGTTAGTATAGTTGGGGATATATTTCTTCTCCTTTTTTTTTTTTCTCCCCCTCCCCTTTTTTTCCTTCCAAACCCTCCCCTTCTTCTCCTTTGCTTTCATGTAGTTGTAGTACATTCGGTTTAAGAAGACATTCTGTAGGCTACTCGGATTTTGTTTCGTTTCCTTTTCCTCGCTGCTTTAAAAATTCTTCTTTATTTTTTTTTATTTTTTTTGACCGCCGTTGAGTTCTTGCATGTAGGCTTTTAAAATGAGATTGTACGACTTGTAACATTTCACATTGGCATATAGGACGCGCACCGTCACCAAGGCCACACCTGATCATCACCAGCTTCAGAAATCTGATCTTTGCCGATGCTGCAATAAAGTGTTATAATTTAGAACTGGCTTTTTTTTTTTGTCTTTCTGTCTCACCGTTTGGGGGGGCGTTAGGCCTGGACGCGCAAGTCTTGGGTTGCGTAAAAGCGGAAAAAAATGGGGATTTCTTTGAACAGGAGGAATAAAGCTATTTTGCATTTGATGTTTCTGAGCTGAATTTCCTATCTTTCCCCCCTGCCTCTTGTAAAAAACTTGTGGGGGAACCGCTGTCTGTGATACGTCAACGCGAAGGGCGACACAGTTATGTAAAACAGTTCGCTTAATAATAATAAAGTAATAAAGTTGGAAGAGACCTTGGAGGTCATCTAGTCCAACCCCCTGCTCAGGCAGGAAACCCTATACCATTTCAGACAAATGGCTGCCCAGTCTCTTCTTAAAAACTTCCAGTGTTGGAGCATTCACCGCTTCTGGAGGCAGGTTGTTCCACTGGTTAATTGTTCTCACTGTCAGGAAATTCCTCCTTAGTTCTAGGTTGCTTCTCTCTTTGGTTAGTTTCCATCCGTTGCTTCTTGTCCTGCCTTCGGGTGCTTTGGAAAATGACCATTTAAAATTACAACGCCACTGGAAAAAAGTAACTTAAGATCGTTTCCCACACTTATGACCATTGCAGCATCCCCACGGTCACGTGATTTACATGTGGATGCTTGGCAACTGGCTCGCATTTATGACGGATGTAAAATCTGGGCTCAATTGTGGTCGTAGGTCGAGGACTACCTGTGCTTTATAGTATTTTATAAACCACCCCAAGATACCTACATACGAGTTGAGCAGCTGTATAAATTGCTTAAATAAATCACATAAATAAACTGCACTTCTTTCACCGTAAGAGCTATTCAGACAAAATAGTTTCCTAACGTAAAATGGAAAGCAGTAGAGGTAGTCCTGGACTAAACAGCAGTTCATTTAGTGACCATTCGAACTTACAACCGCACTGAAAAAAAGTGACGTTGGACCGTTTTCCACACTTAACGACGGTTGCAGCCTCCCCATAGTCACGTGATCAAAATTCAGAAGCTGGGCAACTGACTCACATTTATAACGGTCACAGTGACCCGGGATCACATGATTCCCCTTTGGCCACCTGACCAGCAAAGTCCATGGGGGAAGCCAGATTCATTTAACGACCGGGTTACTAACTGAACAACTGCAGTGACTTACTTAACTGTAGCCAGAAAGGTCGTAAAATGGGGCAAAACTCACTTAACAAATGTCTCGCTTAACAGCAGAAAAATGTTGGCTCAATTGTGGTCGTAAGTCAAGGATTTTATTTTTTTTGCCAAATTATTGCATAGTTTTCCAGTCCTGGCACATTGTGCAGCACAGGGCTGTTATTTTTGAATCCTCTTTTTTTTCCCCTTTTTAAGGATCCAATGTTAGCACGTGCCAGCTTCACTTGAATTTGGACCTTTTTCCTG